GGGGGGGGGGGAGAATGGAGTAGAAGGCAGTTATTTTCGTCCATTAACCACAGAGCTTTGATTTGAGGTATCATGAAAATTTAGAATAATGTGATTTATTGAGATTTATTTCCCTCTATAAATTGGCCATAAATTGTGGCACAAATTGCACAGTTATTTGGTAGATCTGAGGAGTCAGCCTCTTTCAATCACCCTCAACACACTCAGCGTTATTTTGGCTCTCACTTATTAAAATTAGCATAAATATTTGAAGCACATTTGCCTAATTCTTAGTAAATGATTAGTGCTGTTATGTAAATAATACATGGACTGGAATTAGGATACTTTGCTGTTAAATGAACTTATTTGTTTGCTGTTATTACTGGCCGTCGATATTGGCAAGAAAAAATGCTTCAATAAGCCTAACAGAAGGGAATTATTAACATGGTCTGCTTTCATTTGACATATTCAAGAATTTAGGATTAAAAAACGGACAGAAATCAATACACTTGAATATGGTTTTAAGTTAGTTAATGACAGGAAGTAACAACGTTAATTAATGCTTTTTTTATGCGTAGTATTGCATTTTCTCCTCCCTTGAAGTTGTTCAGCAGATTTAGTCTCTTGTGACCTTCAATCGTCACCCAACATGACAAATACTGACATCTACTCTACTAAACCACTTAGTATATTAATTTTTGTTTGCACTTGCAATATTCGAACGGAACTGATAATATGAGCACGTAGAAAGTGGCTAGGTCTATTTTTACTCCAACACTACGATATTTCCCATGGAATTTTCAAGCTATCCCTTACATTAGCACCTAAATGTTCTCTGAGTGTATATTTTATTGCCTATCTTGGCTGCTGCTGCTACTACTACTGCTACTTAAATTAACAATGTGGCCTATAAAAGTACTAGTGCATATACGTCAGTTTCAACTGTCAACTTCATTAGGATAACACCTAAATAGAGTTTTGTAGCCGGAGGCTTCTATTTCCTTGCTCTTTTCACACGACTGAGCTTTAGGAATTATTGGTAGTTGAGAAACGAATTCTCTCTCTCTCTCCCTCTCTCTCTCTCTCTCTTACTTGGAAGCCTCTCTGTTGCCTGATAAGAAAAATTCGCCAATTCCATATTCAATACTAAGCATTTATCACTTATCTTAGTAAATACAAAGAGTACTTAAAGGAGACCCCAACACAGCGGCGGAAGCCACGTCCATTAGACAGATATGGGAAGCCTGTATCCTCCTCCTCTCGCCAAAGCAGACACAAAACAGTAGACAAATGGGCCGCTAAGACAGTAGGGGTCGAGACTATTAGAGTGAAGTGGAGGGGTGGGGTTGGGGTGGGGAGGGTGGGAAGATGTCTCCCTGATTAGTCTCCCCAAGTTCTTCACTGTGGGGGGGGGGGGAGTTAGAACCGCGTAAAAAAGATGGGTATTTTTGTGGCTGATTGGCGGATATGAATTGGGTCAAATTTTTCGGTCTACCAACCAATAAGCTAAACACACTCACATTAATAGATTATTGTTATTCGACACTAATTAATGCTGATCTTAGGGTCTGATTGATTAATAAATGTCCAACTGTAGGGCTTGACTATTACACATTTCAATTTATAAAATTTTGGCGGTTTCTAAAGATTTAGCAAGAACTATCGATTTTATATTTCTAGGATTTCAAGGTAATATTGACATAAAGAAGGCAAAGTAGCCAGTCGGAATGACCATCTACCTCAAGGGTGCAATAATTTGGTTCTAAAATAGTTTCATGTAATGGAAATTTCTGTTTAACCGCCCTGGACCGGTTTTCGGAAAATCCGGGTAGTAATTCTGAGTTAGGAATTCCTTCATCGCTGATTACCTAGGAGTCCACTAGAAATTCGCTTTATTTTAAATTATTCATTATTTATTATATTTGCTGCTTGCGTTTATCGGTGTAAAATCTTAACGTAAATAGCTAAATGCTATAAGTACCCAATTATAAATTCAAATCTCCATATTAATGTTAAATGAAGCGCAATTAATATACTAAATAAATTAAATATTTGAACGAACAGCTGCCGGATTTGAAAGCATAGCAAATTTGACGATTGCGAAACATCAGTTTTCATTAATATTTTCATTGTACAATATATATTCATTAATTCCTGCTTTGTTTGTGCAATTGTTATAGTATTAAGATTCAATTAGTTTACATTTCAGTTCGAAAAGGGAACATGTTCCCTGCCCTGCTTTAAATTCAATAATTTAGAAGCCATTACCCAACCTATATATCTCGGAATTTTGCTAATTTCTTTTCAAAATCTAAACTTTCAACCTCCCGCGATTGATGAATTAAATTAAGTTAAACTTGAGTTTGCTAACTTGTATTTTATGGCTTTAGCAAGCGGAAGAACAGTCCTATCGGGGATATGCTTCGATTTTGGCCAATAACGACTGGCCTCCCTCTATTCAAGTTCACGATCCCAACTCCGTCAGTGGTAGGTGCTTTTACTTACTGGATTTTAAAATTTCACTTTGATTGAAAGATTGCAGTAGTATTTACTTGTTGAATTGCACATACAACTAGAAATGTAGGCTTAATAACTGAAGAAAGTGAGAGGATAAAGCTTACTTCTTAATTGCACTACGCACGCATTACACCTTCTTCTAATTGGTCAATTTTGTTTGCGTCTCCTAGGTGTCACTGTCTCTCCACCACCTTGGCGGCATATGGCGCCCCCTCTGAATTCGAATACCTCCGAAAAGTCCGCCACTGCAGTACCAGAAAAAGCCCTTTGCTGATTGGTTAATTTCACCCTATCCCTCCGACCTTCGTAGCACGCATTTGTACACTCATGCGTGCACACGGGTTGTTTCCACGATTCCCTACCTCAAATCGTCTACTTTTGCGCGCAAAACCCTACTTTGTGCTGCAATATTCCCTCAACTCTGTTTCCTGTCCACTATTTAGATAATTGTGGAAGCTAACTGTAAATAAATCGTACAAATATTCACAAAGCTATCTCCTATTAATGCCTAATTGGAAGCATGATCCCTAATCAAACTAGCTTGGAATTCTGCTTTCACTCATTCCGAGTGAACACTGCCTATGTACTGTTAAGCAATGATCCTACAGACTACCTGAAATTAAGGGTTTTGAATTTAGAGTATCAAGATCGATCTCGTAAAATAAGAATTTTCACAGTAAATGATGTGATGAACACTGAATAACCACCAAAAAAACATTTTAACGCGAATTCAAAATTCAAGTGCGGTAGGACTCAAATTTAAGACCTTAAATTCATTTCAGATAACTGTAAAACTCGTTACCCTTCAACTGACATTGGAACTACTACTATTATTCGATTTCAGAGGCTTTCCCACGTTGAAAAAGCATCTTCGCTTACCTTGTTGTAGATAATACTAATACTTATATGTAGCTTTAAGTACCATTTAGTAAGGCAAGGTTGAAGAATTTAAACATTACTTCCCTCTGAAAACTTATTTATATCAGGCAGGTGTTTTGATGGTTATCATTAGCCCTTTAGTTGACTTCAGGCTTCACA